GAAATTAGACTTCAAAGCTGACCAGGCTTTGAGCAAAGGTTGGTGTAGATGACCTCTGGAGATCTCTTCCAACCTGAAATATTCTGTGACTTTAAGATTTTGGCATGTATCTCTCTTCAAGTGTATGTGGGGGGGTATCTTTTCAAAATGCACAAAGGAGGCAAATGTAGTTGAGAAGTGAGAAGTGAGTTAAAAAAAATGGGGTTATGTTTGGTTTGAGTTTTGTTTTAGATTTTGACATTTTCTAAGCAGTTCTTCACTGAAATGGTATAGCCTCTTCAATTCTATGTGCTAAGTGAGGTTTATTGCAGGATTGCTCACTACTGTAAGGTATTACACATACTCTGGACTATAAGAGCCTGCTGCAGTAGGTATAGACTAACTCTACATCCCTTTGAACTGCTCCAGCTCCCTCTCTTAGCTTATAGTTTTATTTCAGGTCAGATGTTTCCTGCAAAATCACAGCAACCTTCCTAAGTCCCTAAGGGTAAATTAGGTTTTCTCGCAGATCCAACTGCCCTTCGGACTCTCCTGAGGAAGAATAACTGGAGAAAATATCAAACCTGGTGTTTCTTACAAAAAAAAGAAACAGACTGGTCTCATTTAAAAACCATCCTTCATATTCCAGCTTTAAACGGGCATTTCTCATTTTGCTTTCTCTGTGCTCTCACCCTCCACCCCCTGTGGCAGCACAACAGCCCCAGGAGAGTTGAGCTGAGGAGGTCAGAGAGCAGCTCAGCAGTTCAGTGGGAGCATGGACAGTCCCACACCATAGGTAGTCCGAGTGTTATGTGAATCCAGAGGATAAAGAGGTGAATATATGGAACTCCACCTCAAAGGTGGGAAATCAAAGCATGGCACACAGAGGGCAAATAGAGAAGAAGCCAATCCCCACTTTTCCTAGTTTTCTGCTCCCTTAGAGAATCACACAAGTACAAAACCATGAAAACAATAACCCCAGCTGCAAAGGCAATGAAGCAATTTGTTAAGGAGATGACATTTTTAATGAGAAACACTTGCTGAAGGAGAACAAAAGGCCCTGTTTGGTCAGAGAGATGCTCTTGATACTCTTCTGAAGTGCATGAAAAAGTAATTTCATTTAAGCGTCATACACAGAGCAGCTGAATTTCCTGGGGCTCCAGATGTTGTCCTGTGCAGATGCTGAACAAATGGAACTCTGTCTTGATGAAATGAAAAGAAAAAAGCAGGACTCCCTAAACCAAAACCCATGCACCAGAGTATTTCACATCTTAAAAGAAGAAAGAAGAGAGAGAAATCCATGTAAATTGAGGAGAAAGGAAGTTCTTGAAAGCAGCAATGCAGGACATAGGATAAACTGTTCTTAATTGCCCTACAGATAATTGAAGGAGATGAGAATCTGGATTTGCAAAATACCAAGTTCTGGCTCTGTCGTCTCTTTTTCTTGGCTTTGCACTGTTTCGCTTTGACAGTTATCTGGCTGTGATTACACTGGTTTGGTTTTTTTTCCTAGGAAGGGACAGATTCTGCACACTTTTATTAGGCCAGAAGTTACTGGAACTTTCCTGGGAAACTTTCAGATTCAACAACTGAAAAACTATAATCAATAGTTCACTGTATTGCTCGTAAGGTAAAAACACAAGCCTGCTTCCTAACTTGAGATTATACAACTTTACTTCCTGAATTCTAGGGAGGACAAGGGGTTTAGTTCCTCGGTGGTAAAAGCTTTTGAAATAAGAGATCAAACCAAGATCAGCTCTCATTTTAATGAAGACTAATGAAATATAATGACCTCGATATTCAGATACTTCATTCCTGAACTTTGGGATGGGTGACAGAAATAGATATAAATGATTACTGGGCTTTATGAGCCATACAGGACCTATACAGATTCTGATGTAAATCAGAATAGCCTTAGGCCTGCTGGCTTATGCTCTAATTTTTTTTTTCTGCCCTTTTAGGCTCTGAAAAATGGAGACTATTCACTCTTTCTCCTAAAGCACAAATCTCCTTCTGACACAACATTATCCTTTTGCTAAGTGGTAGCAGATGACAGAATCTGAAGCATTGCACGAACACGAGAGCATTCCTACCTCTTACACAGGGCCCCTTCCCAAGAAGCATGGCTGTCACAGACAACTCTGCCTATGAAAAAACAGTAATAAAAGCCAGGTTTGTGATGCTGGTCCATCAGCAGGTGGTACTGTGTAGTCAGTTTATAGTGAAACAAAGTGAGAACGACATTGTTTTAAAGTGGAATTCAAAATAGGTGGTTAGCGTCACATCTGACACAAACCCGGTGGGCAAAGCTGAACAACTGACACACCAGAGTACACGTTAAACAAGGAGGAAGCAAGCCAATGGGTGTGTTAAGTAGATCAAAATAAGAATAGAGCTAAAACTGTTAAAAAGAAAACAGCAATTCATGCAACTTATGAGAAACTGGGGAATGAGCTTTTGTTTCTCTTGGTTGAGAGGTAGACATAACACCAGGCAGAGAGCAGCTGCCTTCTACCACAGACAGAAGATGCTTCTAGTATAGTCGCACCAGAGAGAGGAGTGCTCTCAGAGTTTAGACAAGAAAGCAAGATTAAAGGACTGAGAAAGAACATTCCTAACTAATTTCTTTTAAAAGAAATCCAACACAGGTCAAAAGAGCTACTTTTGTCCAAACTCAGTCAAACCTGATTCCTAGATGACTAATGTAAGCATCAGCAAGCCAGGTAGCAGCCATGGTGCTCGTGGCTCACAGAGGAGCATTGTGCTTTGGAGAAACCTGCTTGAAGCAATTCAATAAAAATGAATTGACCTTAAGATGGAAAAAAATAATCAGGTTTTATAGAATTATTGGGTGTGATCTAATGACTGTACTGAATAACCCAAATTCCAACAATAGGTAATGCTTTTAAGCATGTTGCCAGGTTTTGTTTCATGCATATGTTGCCAAAATAATCCCTTTGCATATATAGAAGGTAGTTAGTGAAACTTAACTTCTGGTAAGCGCTTATGAGAGACTTCTACAAGCAAGCAATCTTTTAATTTATATTCTAAAGAGGTTTTGCATTAAGGTCTTCCCCCATCACCAATCACCAGTACACTGACAATCTTCAAGTCTTGATTACTAATGAGGAGGAAAATCACTGGGGTAGAAAGAAACTAAACATAAGTAAGACTCTTTGTGCTCATTTTTTCCCCTGAGAATACCCTACAGCAGGATGTGCTCAAGCCATGTGGAATACAGGAGGTTTAAGCTGACAGAGTTTAACTACAAGGGCTTTGGTGAAGAGAACACTTGCATTTCCAAACCAAATGCTGCCCCGTGACCTATCATAAAGAAGAGAAACAGGGAGTGGTGCTGAGGGACAGAGGACTTTGGGGCGTTAACAGAGCCATGTGGGCAAGGCAGCATATCTTTAAGGATGAGCATGTTTTTAAGGATAACACTATTCCAGAGCAAATGCTGTTAAATCCTGCTTCTGGGACTAAGTAATGCAGAAATCTCACTGCAACCCCATGTTGCCTCCCTTCTGCGTCATTTTCCCCAGCAATCCAAGTATCATCTGCAAGGCAGATGCTAAGTCTTCATCTGGCAGAAAAGCCAGCAGAGATGAGCTGTGCTGAAGCACACCAACTTCCAGGTACCACTTGATGCTCACTCAGTAGTGCTGCAAAGGTAAGCTAGCATGGGGCACCAAGAGGGAAGGTACTATCTCCTTGTGCATCTCTAAGCAATGGGCAGCCAGATAAACTTGTGGTAGTAAGCAGCATCCATGGTATCATTAGAAACAACCTGGGTTCAAAATCCCAAGTGTCCATATCAATATTTGCAGGGTCTTCTTGGCCTTCTCAGTACTTTATTTGATATTTTAGAGCTATTTAAAAAATGTATCCCCTGGGCATAAATATAAAATAGCTCCTTAAAATTATCTGGAATATCCAACTTCCTTATGGATTGTTAAAAGAATACACTTACCCCTTGAAAAACACCAGGGAATGATAATTTCCTCATTCAGGAATCAAATGCTCATTTTCATGGGTCATTAGAGATGGATAGCTCTAAAGGTAGTCTAAATCTTTAAACTCCCCTGTCCTTTAGCAAGGGGAGAAAACCAGGAGAAAGACAAAGGAAATAATGAACATTTGCAAGGCCACTAATGAGCTATTGTGGGTCATTACTTTTATTTCCAATAGGAATTTAAATTACAAACTGCTTTGAGAATCATTTGCATTAGGCATTTACTTTATAATGAATGTGACTGCAATTTTAAAAAGCTGGTGTGCAGGATGGTAGAGAGGCCATAAAACCCCCAAGTTACATATTGAATTGTGTGTACACATAATGACTGTATTATTTCTAAGGAATTAACTTCTCCCTCCTCCCTCCCAACTTTCCAGACTCTGAATCATTTTCTAGTAGGATCTCAACAGGCAATAGTATTAAAAATGTGTTAGATGTTAGCATCTGAGCCAGGAAAAGCACGACAATCTAATATAGGGAATCTAACCAGGGCATTCATCTAAGACTGCCATCCATCTTTCCATTCTCTGCGGTGTCTCTCTCCCACTTCAGGGTACATAGATTGAGCATGTCCTTGGAATAATGACCTTTAGATGAGGCAAAGCCTACCTGATGATGTTTCCTTGTCAGGCAGGTTGCAGGTCTTAGAGAACGGATACCCAAACTGCAGCGGTCTTCCTCTTGGTTATGGCGATTTAAATTGAGAAGTCATTTCAGTACATGAAGGCAGACTAAAACACCAGCAATCTCATTCCATTGAAGGGAAAAGAGAACTCCAAAGCCTCAGGCATCATGATTTTGACATTTGATTTTCATTCCACAGTGAAACAAAAATGAAACCTTTCAACAATCCTCATGAAAACTTCCAGGAGAGACAAGACAGAGTAATGAGCTTGCTGGGTGGGTAAGATCAGCAAACTGGAAGAGCAACACTGGGAGAATTTGCAAAACGGTCTGACTCCATGTCTTCACATTTGATACAGAAGATTCAGATTCAAGATCTATAAGCAGTCTGATCAGCAAAACTTATTCTCTTCCAGTTCTTGATTAAATGGCTTCTTTAATAAAAAGATTATTAGTTATAATTTTTGGGGGGTTAATTCTAATACTTGCAAGTGTGGAAAACAATGAAATCTTGTTTTGACCAGCACGAAATTCACTGCCTAGATTTAAGATGTCCATTTATTGTCTTTCTATTTATCACAGTAGAACAGATGAGGTCACATTGGGAAAATAAAAGCAAAGACTTAAATGAAAAATACCTGTGTATTCACAGTATATATACTTTTCCTGAGGTATCCAGGGTAGTTAAAAATTAATCACTCAGCTGCACAGAGTATCATATTTGGATGCTAGTGTGCTCAATTAAAGGCTTACTTCAGTAGTGCAGACTGTCAGGAAAACTGTAGCTGTCTTTGAAGGCTTAAGATTGCCAAAGGCAATATAGAGAGAAGGAAGAAAAGGCATTTTAAAGAAATTACACTATTCACTTGTTACAGCTTAGGAATCTGTCTGCAGAGAATGAAGGAAACAAATTACTCTAGAACACTTGCAGTGGTTTCAGTGTGTAGTGGTTAAGCTCCCTCTGTTTGGGATAGATTCTAATACAGGAGCTGAACTTCAGTTTTATTAAAAACTTAACACTAGAGCTTTCGTGCTTAGAAATATTTTGTTTTCCTACTCAAATATGCAGAATGTGGACAAGAAGAAGAAGAACTGTGGACAGCACAGGGCCTCTTTGGACACTGTGCCCAGTCCCTTTATACTGCAGGTACCTATCACATCAGCTTACCATAGTCTAGGGATAAAAAGACGTACGCTTTACCTTAAATCAAGCCCGAATCCTGATAAAAGGCTTTTTTAAGAGTTCATCTCACTGATGGCTAAAGGGTTCTTCCTTTCCAGCCCCACTGTGATCACAGGCAGGTTCAGACTTCGCTGGAAGTGACATTTCACAAAGCAGACTCCAAGGCTCACAGCAAGTTGGCTAAAAACCAGCCAGGATGATAAGTTCATCTGATGCTTGTTGATGTTCTCCTCAGTCTAATGTCTTTCTTTTCATTTTCAGTCTCTTCTTGCAGTAACATGGACCAAATCTTGCTTTACATTATTTGTATTACGGTGGTCAATTTCCAGCAAACATGGGAACATGTGAGACACTTCCTGCTCAGGAGGGTTTGTTGTCTAAATAGAAGGGGGGGGGGGGGGGATGGAGAAACAAAGAGACAGGAAATAGTTAAAGTACTGAACAAACAGAAACTCTATCCTCCAGCTTCTCCATTCCAATCTCATGCTTCCAAAATCCTCACTTGTTCTTTTCAGGGTAAGGTCATTGTCATGGTTTTTAAAAGAGAGATGCTTTTTGAGGACTTGCCTATCTTCAAAAATTTACAGAATACTGTAGACATTTTATTGTCTAACCCTTTATCTCAGTAAGTAAGCAAACGGTTGCTGAAATGGAACATTTTAGCAAGTATTGTTACTGCAGCCCAGTAAATCTGCTGTATCAAAAAGGCCAAAAATTTCCAGCTCATTTCCTGCTCAGCCTTATAGAGCTGTGAGGAACTGTTCGCATGTCAGCTAAGTTGCATACAAATTCCACCAACTGTTCTAAAGAAATACTTGTTTCTTTGAAAAGGCACTTAAGAAAGTCAATATAACATCAAGATGCTGTTTCTTTTTCTAACATGGACATTCCACTTATGCCAATCAACTGACCCTACGTCAACCAAGAAATCTCTTGCAATCCTTCAGTCAATAGGAAGAAATGATGAAACGTGTCAAGATGGAAAACATATCTCTTCCAGTTGCTGGGCTTCACTTATAATTTGTATGTCTGTTTGGATGACCCCATTATGAATACATTAGTCCTTCTGACAACCATATAGCACCACAGCATCTCACTGCACCTCAGCATCACAGTTCTAGCTCAAAGTGGTAAAATAGCAATTTGACCCTCTATGAAAATTTGGTCTAGTTGTAATACTTGCAAGCAAAGTGGAGATTAATCCATCTCAAATAGTCACCAACCAGCAAATTCTAACTAGGAAAACAGGATAAGGAAGGATAGAATGAAAGATTAATAAAAACATGAATAATGGTGTTCTTGTAGATTAATGTTAAAAAATCAATATAGATACCCACCAGAGAACAAAGTCAATCTTGTAAAAGGGTGAGGGCACTGTGAGATCAGATCTCAGCAAAGCAGAAGCTTTAGAAGTTTCTTTATTGCATGGCTCACACAAAAGCATCCGTTGACAATATTAATACATCTCTCGCTTCCTGTAAACTGTGCAACCATCAAAGCCTAGATAGTTTTTGAATTACCTTGCTGAATGAACCTGACATGATTTGAATATCCAATGTAGAAGTGCGGTTGCAGTTTTGTCACCGATCATAAACATCTCTCTATAGTCCTGTGTAGTGCATGGGCTCCCAGTCAGGCTGGGAGCACTCTAAAGAAAATATGAATATAACTGAGTACATTTTGCACCTACTATAGGAACACCTCAGTGTTTCTAAGAACTCTGTCTGTCTACAGAAAGGATTTTCTGTGCTTAGTGAGTACTGACCCCGGAAATGCCTAACCAAGACAGAATGGTTTTTATTATTATTATTGTTTTAAGCGAGAGACAAAACAAATAGGAACAAAAGTTAAAGCTGTTGTGACTGAATGGTGTTTATTTTAATTCCAAAGAAAAAATATTTATTTCAAAGTCTTAAATTTTTGTAATGTTAGAATTAGTTAGAAATATTTGCAATTAGAATGCATAAAACACACAAGTGACAGGAAACAGCATCTATAGTGGACAAATGGGGCTACCCAGATATCGTTCACCTGAACTTTCACAGATTTGCTATCTGAGTATGATTATTAAAACCACAAAGGTATGAAGCAGAGCAGTGTCCATTTTTGTTACAAGACTGTATGTAAGCATGTTACATCCATTATTCACTGGTATTTTTATCTATTGCTTTGCTTTTGGCCATGAAGGTTTACTCAAAACAATTTGTGAAGAAGCTGCTGTATAAATTCCTCACATTACTGAGAATTGCAGGAAACATCAAACATTTGGTTCTGCATTTTGTTTCGCTTATTTTCAGAGAAAAAAAAACCCTCCAGCTTTGGCTTAGTATTCTCATTTAAAATCATTCATTCTCATAATATTTCATAAAAGCATTTATACAGAGCTGCTTTGGGAGAGGCCTAAAAACAAGCACAGAAAAATCATTTCTGCTTTAATTAAACATATTCTTGCAGATCCAGGGACATTAAAAATAGTCCACTGCAGATGGACTCATGCTTATATACTAAATCACAGGTTCCCCCAAAGTGAAGTATTTCATTGCCAAATTGCTCATAACTACTTACTGCTGCAGTAAGGGCAAGCCAGTCAGCAAGACAAAAATCCATCAAAAACAGTTTCTACAGTTTTCACTGCAGGAGTACAGCACCAATTTTCTTATATTAGTTTTGCATAAATACAAAGACTGGAAATGTCTCCCTAGAAATGTCTTTAGAGCAGGGGTGAGACTCTTTGCAGAACCTTTTCGAAGGGCAATGCCATCTTCATGCTGTTGTCAAGGAGGGGAGGAAAGGGAAAAATGGTTTTGAACATTTTGCCCCCTCCTGAGCAGACAAGCATGAATTGTGCAGTCGAAAAGTAGAACAAAACTCTACAGTACATTAGTAAAAATCATCTCACTGGCATCTCTCTGCTAACAATCTGTTATGGGAGGAAAATGTTCATTGTCATGTATTTTTGGGTGGTTATTTATGGGGTGCATCTTCCAGCTGAGAAATCCCATAGCGTAACAAAGCATTGCTTGATCATGTAACTGGTAAATCTGGCTCTTAGAACCTCTCTCCAATTTCAGTTTTCATTACCAATGTGGAAGATGGAAGACTACAACCATGGGTCTTAATTATAGAAAAATCTGTGAACAAATTACCTGCCTCCACAAAGAGGTCCTTGCACAGTGAGCATTTGTGCAAAGGTAGAGATGAGCACACGTATGCTCCTGGCATATTACACTTTAAGTTGTCCCTTACAATTGGGTAACTGGCCCAAAGTGAAACAAGCAGCTGTTATTCCAAACTTCAATAGAGAAGCAGTGGGTAAGGGTTAAGTGGGTAAGACTAGGATAACAGAATGGAATTGAACATGAGGCTTTAAAGGAAAACAATTTTGCTTTGACTGAGAGGTTTAACCCACAGAACAGGGACAGAACAAGTCTGGAAGGTTATTTTAACAGCAGTAATTTCAGCAGATTGAAATGGCCAAACCAACTCCTTCAGCCAGAAAGAACAATTGAAGAAGAAACTGTGGATTTGTAAAACAAAGGGGCTATATTCTCTCTCCTTCTGTGACTGGCCCTCTGATGTGATTTTACACGTTCACTGTCATGCCCAAGAGCATGTTGAGTGCAGTCAGAGGCAGAGAGGAGGAGGGAGAGGCAGTCGGAAGTCAAACAAAAGTTCTATGAAAAGAAAGTCTGGAGTAAAAATAGCATGAAAGAACCCTATTCTGCTAGCATGGAGCCAGATGTGGCAACGCAACGTATCTAGAAACAGTATGGGTCACAGATGGTGGGGTTTGTCCATCTCTGTTTATCCTGATGTTATATTATCATTATTGCTGCATACCAATGCATCCACTGCATATGTAGAGGGGATATCTCTGAGCAGTAAGTGAAAAGCAGAGTAATTACATTAATTTATCACACACCTTTGGCTGCTTCACCACCTCCTCCCTCCTGAATACTCTTAGCCTTCTAAAAAAGATTTTACATAGAAAATCTTAAAGTGTTTAAGAGGAAGGAAACCAGTAGGGTTCTATAAAACATTAATAAGGTATCACAGAAAATATCCTGAAACTACACTGGCTCCATTCTTACTTTCCAGAAGTGCAAATCAGGAGTGACACCAGTGTGGTCACACTGCTACTCTACTAGAAGAAAACACCACAGGTCAGATCCAAGATCCACGAGTGCAATTGGCTCCAGCACTAATCAGGCTTAATATGTCTTGTAAAGCTGTCAACCCTAATTAGGGTCACTATAGATCCTTAGCACTAGTACCTCACTCATTGATTGATCTATATCTTAAAACCAGTTCAGTTTTTGTCACTACTGTTGGTGTCCAGAGGTTATTCCAGGACAACTCTTCTCTGTCAATGAAGAATTCCATCATATTTAATCACTGGTTTGTGTGTTCCCCACAATAAGATGGGGTAAAAAGGTAAACAAACCCCTCTCAAAAGAAAAATCCCACACCAAGCAGAGCAGTCTCCAGACTTGTGACATCTCAGGAGAGATCCTGATTCCCTTCATCCCCAACAAAGTTGTTCTGCAGGTGGTAGGCTGGCTCCCCTAGTGACAAGGATTATGATAATCCTCTTGTGCTTCACCACAGCCACTCACACAGTCCTTTGTGTCAGATAGATACTTGGATTGTCAACTGATTAACAAAGGAAACCAACATTTTCTGTCAAAGAATTGCAGGGTTTCAGAACTACAAGCCAACATGCTGGAATCATTTTGAAAACAAAAACCAAACCAGAACAACAGATAGCAGTGCTGTGCTTTTACTTGGATAGGGTTTAGGCAGTGGGATCCACAAGTAACTATGACACTTTGCCAGGACAGATAGATAATGTTTGCTATTCTCAAGACTCTCTCCGCCCTGGCTCCCCACTACCTCTTTTGTGTGGTTGCCGATACTCACAGCTTCTTCATGGGACAGAATCATGAAATAGGTTTTTCTATTGCTGTCACATCTGCAACACAGAGACTTCCTGGATACAAAAGAGGCAGCTTCTTTCTGGTGGAGTGTCTTCATCTCCCGTGGCTTCCCTTCCACATCCATCAGGCCAATGAGATTTGAAAACTGTCCCCATCTCATCCAGACATCAGTATACCTGCACTGAATAAGAGTCATGGCTATTTCTTACCTTCATAAATAACTGATTGCTGTTGAAACCTTCAGGCTGTTCAGAGCAATTCTGTGAATAAGAAATATCGAGTTAATACATCTACACACACAGACTCAAAAGGGGGTTTTGGGTGCAGGGGGGAACATTCAATTGATCTGTTTCTTTGACTGAATGCAAAGTTACCTACAGACTCTTAATGCTGCTTTAAGCATTCAAGCCACATGCTGTATAGGCACATCCTAGATTTCATTTTCCTCTGGATCAATATAAACTCCTAAGAATCCATAATTCCACCTATTCTGTTCCCTCACTGACCAGCTTAATATTTTACACTTCAAAAACCGAATAAGAAACATGCTCAGATACCATTATCACAGCATTTTCCTCATATGACATCTCTCCTGCATCCCTTTGTGAAAAGCTCCTTTTTTCTGCTTTTAACAGACATGAATGCAAACACTAAGAGAGTATGATTCAGCTCTCTACTCATGCCAGTTCTAAAGAAGTTGACTTCCATTGGTTGCTATCTGCTTCAAGGTTATGTAGCTGAAATCCTCTGATCAGAAGCAGCCCTAGGAGTAGCTTACTCAGCAGAGCAAGCTCACTATTTCAGTAAAAAGCAAACCTAACAGAGAATGCACTTAGGTTCCTAGTGTTATGTCACAGAGCAGGAAAGAAGACTGAATACTAAGGATTTTGCATCTGAACTACATTGGTAATTAAAAAGTCTCCAGGATTTGATGGCCTTTCATGTTTGTGTACAATTCACCTCAGTTTGGCAGTTCCAGTACAGTCTGAAATTAAGGAAGTCATCTTGTAAGGAACTATGATTTTGTGATTTCCATAATTTTGAGGGGAAGCTAAGGGCTTTTCAAGCTACCAGTGACAACTTGGCAACTCAGAGACAGACAGGCTCTTGGTTTAACATCAGTGCAGAGAGATCTGCCCCAGCTGATGCTGCAGTCACCTGCAAAGCCTTGCCCCATCAAGAGCTTCCCCCTGTTTGAATGCTCTTTGGGGATATTTGAAACATGGGTGCTGGTGCCAGCTCAGCTCTCAGTGGGACAGTACCCTCATGGCAGAAGCAGACACACCAAAGCTGTCTAACAAACATGCACAGCAAGAGTGGCTACAGACAGCAAATCTGAGTTATCCTTTGGGTACCACAGAAGTACACATGCAACATGAAAACAGGAGGTTTGTTTCAATAGTGGTAGAACTGAATGGCTCCAAGTGCTAACTATAATAGATCTTTTAAAAAACATAGGCTTTGAGTATTTGAATATTTTTCATTTAAATAGCAACTTTCAAAGCTAGTCAGACAGAACCAAGGAGTTGTTTGATGCCCAACATACCTGGCAGAAATCACCCCCACTATGCCATTGGTTACTCAAGATGTTTCTCCCCATTTCTGACTCTGCTTAGATATTACGCAAGTGAAATGCCCTCCAGTGATGCCATCCTACAGTTAAACCATGCTGCTTACCTGCAGTGCCATGTGAATAAAACCTGGTTTCACAAGTTCTAATAAATCAGTTTTATACAGATGAATCCCGATACCTTTGATATGCAGAATTTGTGCGTAGCAAAGGGAAGTCTGGCAGCAAATTTCTATTGCTCAAGGTTTGATCTCAACGCACAAAGCAAACTCTTGAGATTAGAAAAATGCATTTGCTTCTGGGAAATAGTCTACATGCATGAACATGTAGGAAGATGGCTTCTCCTAGCTCTAAATTGTGATCTCTATCTGTGGCCCTTCGTTTAGAAGCAGAAAAAGGAGGGAGAGACTGGGGATGATCTGGGTAAGAGGTGTAGGACTTATTGATATAGCTCCAAAACAAAGGTCACTAACCTCTGCCTGTTTGCCCAAACTCTGAAAATCTCTGCCCAAGAAACTGCACAGTTAAAGGCTAGAACTGGCTAAAATATCAGGCATAGAAAAACTGAGATACCAGATCACTTGCTTGTTAATGCTTTTGTTGTTGCAGCAGAGAATTACACGGGGGGATAACCTGTGTTTTACAGGAGCTGGTTGTTGCTACAATTGCAGTTTTCAAAGTGGACAGCTAGTCTGTTTTCTATGGAAAACTGGAATCTCATCAGACTTACTGGCAAAACCAGCTAGCTCTGGAGAGGAGAAAGCAGAGATTCCTCCAGCTCTCAATGCTACACACTAGGCAGCTCTCATCTTTGTCCTTTGCTACTAGCATCTGTACACTGCTTTCCCCTCCTTATGGCCTGTGGCTTGAGAACAGTTGCTGTGTGCCATGAGAACATGCACACTGTCCCTTTTCCACCCCAAAGTCCTCATGTCCCCATCCAAGCTCCCAGGCCCTGGCCAGCAAAAACCTTTTTCCACCCTTCTGCTTTCATAACTTGCTCCCACTCCTGCACAGGCAAGAGACCCACAGGAACCATTCTCCAAACAATCCCTCAGAAATCATTTCATCATGTAATAATACCTCTTATGACCCAATTAACTGAAGGACAGCCGATGACAGAACATTGCTGTTTGCTTGTTTCAATTTATAAGCAAAACTGGAACAGAAGACAGTTAAATTAGGATTTCCAGCTGCTGATTCATGCCAGGGTTCTACTGGATGATTCCTAAAGGTTGATTTAATCAGCGCTTTTAAGGATTCAATCAATCTTTTAAGGATCCAGTCAACCTTTCTCAAGTGATAAAAAATAAACAGGGGCAAAGCTTCCACTTTAATCTGAAACTGAACCCATAGGCTTTATGAAAGTTGGCATCTGCATACAACAACATAGCACATGGGTGATCAAAGCTCCTCTCTGGCAGGCTCTACTTCCACTCATACAGATCTGGGATATTATGCTTGCCAATAGACACACGTACCTGTTACGTACTGGGCAGACAAAAGTCATCCTGGAAACATGCTCTGTAGACTTCAAGCCTGTATCTCCAGCCATTGAGTGAATTGGGAACCAGGACTTGGTACAGAGAGCCCTTACAGTTGCTTCACAAAAGTGTCCCTCTAAGTGTCCCTGAAGGTCAGAGATATGCTGAGGGCTAGAAAAGGACTCAAGGTGCAAATGCAGTAGTCCCCAGCAGTTCACCTCCTCCAGGGTAATAGACTAGCAGCAAACTGTAACTGTTGCCTGCAGAGGTTTATATTCACCAAGCAGTGGCTAACGACCTTTAATTGTTGTCAGGCTTCCAATGCCAATGATGATATCTAAGAAACTAAACCCTTACAGCCAGGAATTATAGCTGATTTCCTTACCCTCAAGATAATTAACTCTCAGGGAGCGGGCAAGTTGAAAGGAAGGTTAAGAAAGGTTGCCCTGTGTTGATGGGGTTCATCTGCTTCTTAGGGCCTGATGCCCCCCACTAGTGAGATACAGAGCTTATTCCAAGTTCTTGGAAAGAACAAGGCAGAAAGATAAATGAAGTACCTGCACCTATCCAGTTCCTCCTGAGCAGAAGCTATACGTCCTTCTGGCATCTTGACTGTATATTCTGAACAGCCTTTGGAAAAACACGCATCTGATATCTCCCAATATCCAGCCATCCACAGGCCCAAGAGAGACACAACCTGATGAAGCACACTGAAACTGGTCTTTCCAAAGGGCTCACAAGCACAGATGTTCTGATAAATATGTGCTGTGACTGGCAAAGTTGTTTCATCTGCCTTCAGTATCATTAGAGCAGGAATTACCTCCATATTACTCTCTTAGTTGTTAAACCAAGATCCTGAGTGAGAAATGGAAGAGGAGAAATAAGGGAAGCATAACAGCCTCTCATGTTAAATCCACCTCATGTGTGAGCACAGAAAGCCAGAGAAGTTTGCTGCCTCATGCTGTGAATCTACGTCTCAGCTTTTGGCAGTGGAACAAAACCCTGGAAGCATTCTGGAGGCATTCACATGTTTTGCTGCTTGCTTTGGCTACTGTCGAAGCAGCCTAAACCCTCTGTTCTCTTAACAGAAATATGTTTGCAAGGCATTTTTCTGAGACTGGTCACAATGAAAATACCTGCAATTTAGATTCCTCCACCCCCTTTAAAAAGATAAAGTTATTAAAAAAGATGTTTTTCACATCATTCAAATAACAATGGTAACCATATCCATAAGAAAATCAGCACAACCGAGTAAAATGGGTCTTTTAGGCTACTCTCTGCATGCCTCATTTCTTTTTTCATAACAGCACATATTTTCTCCTGGGTGATCTTGTTGGGATATCATATATATCCAGATTTTGCCTCCTATTTAAGGAGGGTGTGAAAGCCTTATCAGAGCACTCCTAAGGCAGTCCATTTGACATTGTACTCCCTGGAAGGAGCGCAGCACACCTGAAGCAGCACAAAGATGTTAGTTCTCTTTCCAGAAGTTACAAGGCACCTGCAGATGGGGAATCAACTCAACACTCGCTCTGCTTCTGAAGTTAATTTAGTAGCCTATATTGATTTCTCTGCTGCCTTGGCTAAGCAGCTTGTGATATATTTTGAAGTTTTATGTTATCTTTTGATGCCATGCAGAACACATTTTGTTCTGGCTTTCTGAAGTGCCTGTCTTGCAAATGGAGCTGTGATCAGGCACTTAACTCCTCTCAGTACCTGACACTGCAACTCCATGTTTTGCCTTGACAATATAGAGTTGGGAATTATCTCCTGTTATGTTTGTTAAATTCCCTTTGAATGAGAGCACAATGGAAAAGGAGGACTTTAATCATGAACCAAATTATAACCTAGACAGCAAGACAATTATTACTCTAGCTGGCTGTTCTGAGAGAAGCAGAAGGAAGGAAACCAAGAAAACATCACTTTGGAGATTTCCATCATCACTAAAATCACTTTACACCTCAAGTGACGGGTATGAAATTACCCTGATTATGTTCCCCCAGTAGATGGATCAGAAAGTGTTGTTGAAATCTGCCTGTGAGTCTATGTCCAGTTACTCTTAGTCCTTCTCATTGATGCAAGAGTGCAAGTTTGCTCCAGTTTCCATTGGCTTATACTCTCTCTTAGTGCTGTATGAAGATGTGAAGTATGTCATAAAGGGCAAAGGAGCCAAATTCGATTGTTCTGAGTCCTTGCTGATGGTCTGATTGAAATATGAGGTATTATCTACTTTTCTTTCACATCAGACAGTCTCAAACCGCTAGCTCTGAAATGAAACCCCTTTGAGGCTCCTTGATACTGTACTTCAGCAAGTATTTCACAATCAAAATGAGTCTTGGTATTTGTGAAAGACGCCAGAATCATGCCAGCACATCTGTTTAGGCTGAATGACTGACGCATTTGGGCAAGTCTTTCTGCCTCTGTTTCCCCTTCCTAATAAAATAGGGATAAATATTAAACCCTCAGTAGACTGAAGTTCTCATCCCAGTTCCAAGTATTTTTTTCTCCATTTTTTAATGTCCTTCAAGATAGAAGAAGGAGTATGATGGGTTTTTTTTTCCACTTCTGTCATGCTCATCTGTTGTTCATCACAAAACAGACTGAGAGGGTTTTTTTTGCTACTGATAAATATATTAAATCTTTCCATGTCAAATAAACAAAGCAGAAAAATATTTTGAAATGTGATGAATATGGAAAATATAAGGAGAGAATGGAATGGAACTGAAAAGGGAAAATGCTAGATGAAGAACACATTATTAAGAAAACTTACCCCGGCCTTCGGATAACATCATGTATTAAAATAAAACGGCCTCTGCAAGTGAAATAGAGGAATGCTCCAGAACCTATTCTAATGTAGCAGATATCTAGGAAAAGGTATGAAAGAAGTCATTGAATGAAACAGGTAGGAGACTATTAAAGGGGCATGTACCATTCAGAGTTTTGATTTAATTAGATCATGGGCTGATGATGGCCACCGGACCTTCAGCTGCATACCATCTTGTCTCTAACTCTGTGGAAGACAGAGAGTAGGCCAGCAAGGCAGAATGGGTAGGGTGGTCTTTAGAGTGTGCAGCAGCAAGAAAGAGCAATGTAATGCATAAAAAACCCAATCAGAAGTGCAACAGCTGTGAGACTGCCTTTGTTTCCCCAAAACCTATTGAAGCTGTGGTATGTTTTGCACATTAACCTCCCCCTACCACGAGCAGCACAAGGCCAAGGCAATACTGAGGTGGTAGGTCACTGAAGCAATAAAGCAACGCTTTATTAATGCCTGTCCTCCTAAAAATGCAACCTAAAATTCCTTCCAGATATTCAACTGGGCAATGGAAGTTTTATTTGTGGGTTAAACCATTGAGCAAACTGCAACCCTTGTGCCCTCTTAAATCATGCCGCCTCCTTGGAATGACTAAAATTCCCCCCGAGTTGTTTTACCCAGAGTTTGTAAATGTCTGGAAGGCATAAACCACTAATGCATGTAATTTTTCCTTTCCCTCTAGCCATTTCTCCAGCTTTCCCACACAGATCGCTTCTTTCTCCCAGCCACTTCAAGAACAGGATATATTTCTCTCTCAAAAACCATACACTATCTCTCCTGATCCAAGGAGTCAGATTACGCTGAGGTTCAAAACATACTTCCTTGCTAAATTAGGCATTCCTTTTCCCCTTACAAGAAGATAATCTGCTTGCAAACCAGGTGTGACTTGGAGTGGTCACCTCCAGGGTTTTCTGCAGGGAGTAGCTATTGACGGACACAGCCTGACTGTAGTCAAAAGCAAACGATACTCAATGCTCATGCAGTGCACAGTACTGAGCTGTGCTGGAGACAGAGCTGGACCCACTTACCATGTTTCTTTGACTCATATCCTTGGATGAGGTGTTCTTACGCAAAGCTGGCTCTCCTTCCTGCAGTCCTCTGCAAGCTCCTATTTGCCCAGCACTAAAGGTTTTTTCCTGCAGGAGACACGTGTTAAGCCACAGCAAACCTGTTTAGCAGTTCTGTTCTGCTCCCCTTCATTTCTGCCAGGTTCACTTTGCATAATATCTAGCACTGGTTCCCAAGGATATTTTTCACACGCATCAAACTTCTCTTCCCTTCAAATACTTTCCAGTTAATAGTGTATTCAGAAGGCACTTATTTCTGTGCCTTCGTTTCAAAGTAAGGCTCTCAAAAGCCCCAAATGCCAAAGCCAAGATGATCTGGGCCATGTCAGCTTTGATTTTCTGTCCTTCCAGCTCACTAATATGATGCGCTCTGCATCAGAAGTAGATTGCTTGGTTTTGAACACTTGGATTAATTTTTTGCATAAGGTATACCTGAAGCTCTCTCAGAAACATTTTTACAGTCATTCTGCAGAGGAGCTTAGCGAGAGTTCAGCCACTGCTTCTCACCCTTGCTTAATGCAAACACCGATACATCTAAGACATGTGTGTAACCAAGGTCTTCTCTATTAGCCATCAAATCTGTGCTTCCATTATAGAGTTTTTCACAACTGAAGTGAGTCTCATTTTTTAATAGCACAGCTAATAGTTCTGGTATAAAAAACCTCCTGTAAAGAGCAAATGCAGGAAAAGAAAAATCCCCAAAAGTCCCTCCTTGCTCAGTTTTACTCCAAGTGATGGCAATAATAACATTTTTGCTCATATATCTGTGTAACACTAACACTCTGTAAAAGGAAATGGACTTCTCTTGACTTCTCTTGGTGTTTACCTCTGCAAGGCTGTTGACTACAGGGATGGCACATACCCAAGAGTTAAAAACAAAGTAATCACTTAACATACACAGGCTAAATTCAGATAAGGATATGAAAATCAATGTGCTTTTCAAAACCCACACTGACTAGGTATAACTTCTCCTGTTTATAAAACTGATTCAGAAATGTTAAAACAGCAGTGATGTTCAGACTGCTTCTGTTTGGGACAGAAATACACAATTTTGTCACTGTCTTCTGAGAAAAAACAGAAATGATATTGAAGGTGGGTGAGAGATGAAAGCAAATACAACCCTAGGTTTCTGATGCTGAAGTAGTTTGATATAACTGTAGCTCTATGAAGCTTCCAAGGGGCTGTATTCAGTGTGTGTCTGCTCCTGAATCTTTTTGTCTATCTTCCCAAGGCCAGTGACCTGTAACCACACATTAAAGTGTTGGGGTTTGAACACTTAAAAACCCTTCTGTAGGATTTTGATATTCTTTATTTCAAAGGTAGGAGCCATGCAGCTCCTGCCTGGGGTTTCATATGCCTCTACTGCCAGATGACAAAGACCTGCATGCCGATAAATTTCTGTGTCTATTTTCATACCTGGGACTCTTGTAATAAACACTGAAGTGGAACAACTAGTTCTGCATGAAATCGATGAATAGGTCTGAACTGGTGTTTGCTAACAAATCCCCACTCCATTCATATCCTCCTTCTTCCTACTGTTATGAGGATTCCTCTCTCCTTGGGCTCTCTCTTTTTTCAACTATTTAAAACAAGTTAGAATATTTCTTAAAGCTGTGTATGTCTTTGAATGTCCAATCATTGCAATTAATCACTTAATTGTGGGTTGGTTGGAGATATCAGGCGTTTCAAATGAGCTTTTCCAGGTACCAGGCAATTAAACCCTGCTAGATTTCTCAACTGCGCTCAGCTCGGTGGAGTGAATCCAAGTGGGTTTGGCAAGTCAGCTGCTCTCACACATCACACACCTACCAATATCTTATTCATTGAGGAACTCTTTCTTCCTCCCCTTGTCCACCCACTATGGCTGCTTGGCCAGGAGGGTAATTTGTAGTTCAGTAGTTCAAAAGAAAGCTCATTCATTCTGCACTGAAAACTATGGCAGGGGCATAGCTGCCCTGTTCTAACCTGTCTGGCGTGATTGAGATGCTCCATCACTGAGCTCCCATCTGAGAAGACACATGAAAGCCCTGCTGCTGTCACACTCAAGCAGTATCTGGCATTGCAGGGCTTTGCCTTACCTGGAGATAAGCAGGATTCTCTGCTGGCATACGAAGGAGCTTCTTGCTGCCAGGCAGCCAGGAACCAAGCATCAAAACCCTCACCTCTCAGCTTTTCCAAAGCAACACAATAATACTATGCAAGCTCCATGTCTATATAAAGCTCCAGTGTATAAGATATAAGAAACAAAGAAAAGCAAAGACCTTCAGCATTATAAGCACTTCAAACAATGTAGGGACTTATTTTTCATGTTTTATTATTTCCATCACAGGTTTTATCCTCCTTGCAAAATGCTCAGCATTCAGGCAATATTAAAAGCACCTGAGCAGTAAACTTTCAAAAGGGCACAGCCAATGCTCAGAACTTGGTTTTCTTCCCTTTTATGTGCACTTATGAAACAAACTGAATGAAAACACAAGTTAATACTTCTCAAGAACCAAGGAAAAGGCTTTTTTGCCTCCAGACTCCCAGCTGCCTTTCCACAGGAATCAGCTACAAAAGCGCACCCTGAAGTCCTGCTGACACTATTTGCTGATTACGGTATGGATTATCTGACCTGATAAAGCTGGGATTTTTTCCCTTCCTAACTTCAGGCCAGTGCTCACTTCAGGAGTCAGACAGTGTTTTTCAAAAGAAGCAGAGCAAAAGTAGGAAGAAATATCAAATGCCGCATTTCTTCATTGATCATGGGCATTAAAAAGGATATATAAGTGAAAAATCTGTCCTTTCTACCCCTTGCCAGTCATCTGTATCCAAGGCAAGTTCAACAATTCAGTTGGTAGGCAGTCAAAATGCTGTTCAAGTAAATGTGATGCCTTGGTCCCAAAGTCCCATGCACCATTTGCCCCAGGAGGTTCGGATGTTACTCTAGTATCAGACACATCCTGTGTGAAACAGATACAAGAAGGTTTGAATCCTGCATTCTTCCACCTCCTTCACCCTGGTCTGGAAATAAATGCAATTGAAATGCAGGGAAGGCTCATTCAACTCTGTTAAATGTGATGCCCATTAGTGCTCAGCCTTGTGCTGAGCTGCTGCTCCCTGTAAAGGGTGCTCTCCTACGGTTCCTCAAAAGCCCATGGGATAAACAGAGGTGCAGGGACATTGACAAATGCAGCTGAAGCAAGTTTGCGTTTCTTACATCCTCATTTTACCTCCTGCTTTATCTGTAATTAATATCTGTAAAACGTTTTGAACTTTCTTTTTCTCTTATCTAAGCCATGGTGCAGCCCCTGGATGCAAGGAGTTGGAGAAATCTATGCTGGTAAATGGGAGGAATCTCTACTTGCTTATCATTTGTTTTGCAGTATTACACATTACTATAGTCAAGCACATCTTGCAGGCTTTAATATTAATGTGTTTTATTTTGGTCAACAGGCTAAGTCTATGCAGTTGTGGTTCAGATCAAATGAATTTCCAAAGTGACTGACCAAGTTTCTCTCAACAGCTTGCTTCTGCAGTCACTCAGGTGATAAGTACAAGCCTGTGTAATATGAGAAACTTCAGGGAGGTATAAGAAAGGGTTTATGAACCAAACCAATCTGAGGCCTTGGTGTTCTTAGCGGTGTCAAAATATGACCCATGTGGCTAGTTTGATTCCTTTGTACGTCTACAAATGCCCTTCCACAAGGAGTATAAAGTACAAACCAAGGTTTTAATTTGTGACAAACAGTTGCACAAAGGAATTTACATGGAAAGATCCAAAGTAATTCAGCACCAGCCCTCCTCCCAATTTTTCTTATTTCTTCTATCTCTAATTACAGGCATAAAATCCAGGTAATAAGTGGGTAAGATTTTTTGCTAAGAAAATGATGTCTATAATTATAGGCACATGTTCAACTGAGATATTGTGGCATCCAGTGCTTCCACAAAGATACTAATTGTCAGCTTTTGCACTGTAATTAAGTCTAAATGGGAATCCTAATCGTTTTCCAAATGAGCAAACAGTAAGCCTATCTTGATTGGCTCTGTTGTGGCAATGAATGAAACTGATTTATTCTATGAGTTAATTAAGTTTTATGAAGTTCCATGCCCCCCTTCCTCAAAACCCACATTGTCAGCAAATATTTGAGCTAATTAGTTGTGTATTGTTTTAATGCTCTGTGATAGTATTACCTGCATTATCCTATTAAGAGCCCTGTTTTACTGCAACCTTCATTTCAAGTTTTCCCTCCTTGGAGCAACTACTTTGCCTTTGATTCACCTGTTTCTTGAGTTCATGGCCTTCTTTTCCCTTAGAGGCTTATGATTTCAGCAGGGCATATGAACAAAGAAGATGCTATGAAGTGCGTTGCTCAGCTTTCCTTACAAATACTCTTCATGCCTAGCTGTGACCTAGCAAGCCCAATGCAAGTGATCACATCTCACAGGCTTTCTTTTCACCACTGTTCATGTGGGATAGTTTTCCTACCAAATGCCAGTGCAATCAGCCCAGCTCCAAACCCTGTTCAACCTGGCCTTGAACACTGCCAGGGATGGGACAGACACAGCTTCTCTGGGCAACCTGTGCCAGCGCCTCAGCACCCTCACAGGGAAGAACTTCTGCTTAAGATCTCATCTCAATCTCCCCTCTGGCAGGTTAAAGCCATTCCCCCTGTTACTACATGCCCTTGTAAAAAGTCCCTCTCCAGCTTTCTTATAAACAGTTATACTACATGAGCCAGCCAGAACCAATGTGACTTGCTCTTGCCTTCTGTTCCCACATTCAACACAACATCATTATCCACTCAGTTTGAACTTTCAGTTTGATTTTGTTCCATTCCTACAAATAGAACTTCCTATAACTATGCAGGAGAAGAGTCAGAAAACTATTCTACATCATTTCACAGTCTGGTCTCCCAAGGAAGCCACACACATGTCAAGGAGATCCAGGACTGGGTTCCGGTAGTGGCCTCTAGAAGCTGTCACAGAAAGGGGAAATTTTGGATCCACTCCTCATCCAATACCGGTCAGCACAGGTACACTAAATCAGTGCAGATACACTGATTTATTATACGTGAAGACCATGATTTGCTTCCCTACTATCTCTGCTCTCTCATTGCTTTCTCGCCTCAGTTGTTTGCCTAGAAGAACATATTTATTCTTCCTTTCATGAAGGACTTGAGCTGCAAAATAAATGCAGAGTAAAATGTTTCCAATGCACTTGCCCAAATATAATGATTTGTGCAATTTAGTGGAAAAAATCACAGAGCTGAAAAAATATATGTGCTTCCTGTGGCGAGAGCACCTGAAAGGCAATGAAATTCCATTACCTGAAACAAGCCCATAAACAGCATTACAGAGCAGCCACTTGTCAGTGCTAGATGCTATTTGTGGGAAGCCACTAATTGCAGCTTTCATAAAACGGTTTGACTCCCTTCCAGGCTGATGCACAGTGCATTCCAAGCGGGTGATTTAGAAGCTGCAGAAAGCCAAATGCCCCAGCCACAGGGGAAAGCTGCCACTTTTGGACTCTCAAAGGAGAGCTCTCCAGCTGAGCAAGATGTTGGCCACTTTGTGGCAACTGCCTTCTATGCTGTCAATGCCTCTTCCATCAGAGAAACCATGACAGTCAGAGACCTTTGAGAGCAGAAATAGTAGCACATATTGTAAGGGGCAGCCCCTGTCTCCAGCAGATTCCTGGGTTTTAATATTGTAGGGAAACTAGGCAGAAAGACCAGGATTGCAATCCATTTGCCTAAACAGAGACAGTTAATGTTGCTTGAGATGTAACACCTAAGGCCTTCTACCAGCAGATACAACACCGGATGAACAGCTTTCCTCCTGGAAGGACAGCTGGAGGTCAAGTGGGGCATAGCAAAACATCCCAAGTAGTTTGTGAAGACTATGGTTAGGCAACAGTTATGGCACTACTGACTTTCTCATGGCGATGCAATGAAACCGCAACAGAAGTAGATCTTTCCAGTCTAATGTTTTGGCAAAAGCCCTTTCTTCCTAATTACCTTTCTTCTTAGGCAACATGTCTCCCGTACAGAACAAATAAGGGGAATGAAACTTAAGTCAAGCTTCTTATCTTCATCCCTAATCCAAAACACACATGCTTCACCTCCGACCCTAGGATTGCTTCATATCTCACCCCATGAATCCATACAGGTGACACAATAGGACAAGTTTGATTGGCAGGTGGGAAAACTGGCATGCAGCAGTGTGATTCATCAGTCCTTTCAGAGCACACAGAAACATTCTGCTGATGTTTGGATAGTTTGCATGTTCTTATCTCAGAGGAACTTGTTCACACAAGCAAGGTTTGATTTTATGTTATCTTAAGCCTTGCCCTGTACTTGTCCTAGTAGCTGAAAACAAGTTATTTTAGCCAAAGGCTCCAAAATTCTCACTCCTTTTTTTAATAAAAACAGAGTGATCAGTGAATGTAGGAAAAAGAAAGGAAAAAAAGGGGGAAAAAGAAAAAAAACTGAACAGTATTTTCAGTGGCTCATGAGCTGGAAAAACAACATTTTTTAATGAGGGGAAAAAAAAAAGATTAAGGCCACTCAGCAGCTGAAAAAGCAAGCACTTATTAAAACAAAATATTTAATGTTCACAGCCATTCAATGGTTGGAAAAGCATGTTCTAATGGCCACGTTTAATAATGTTTAGAGCCACCCAGGGCCTTGAAAAGCAACTTCTTGCCTAACCTTACAAAGCTGCTGATTCTAATAAATAACATGCATGTTGAACCCACAGGTAGGGAATTAGATTGCTTACCAGTGCTGAGGAGAAAAGGGTTAAAACCCCAAAGCTCAAAGTCCTCCTCTTTTGTGAGATGAGGGAAGTCAGAGACAGGTAACTGGTAGAAGAAAGGAGGGAAAGGAAGAAAGCTGCAGAAAGGAGCTGAGCTCTCTGCTATTCTTCCCAGCGGGAAATATCCAGTACCCAGAGGGTCACCACATTGTCCCAGTATGAGAAGCTGGAGAACAAATACAGCTTTCCTATTGCCAGGAAAAAAAGGGGAGACTGTGCTGGTGCAGACACCCCCTGCTCCTTCACAAACTGGAGGTGCTGGAGACTATAACGAGGCAAAAGAGGCCAGGGACAGATCAAGGTGTGTCTCCAAGCACTATGTAATATAAAGACATTCTTCTTCAGTTTGATAATCTAATGGCTTGTTATGAGCATCACAGATTTATTCAGAAGTTTATTGTTTTAGCACAGATTGTATTTGCTGGGGAACGGTCTTACTTGAGCCATTTCCTGCTCAGAAATAGTCTATTCATATTGAAAAATGGTCTTAATGTTGCTGCATCTAAAACAAAACATACTCCTAGGAGACCTAAGATGTTGTGAATTAGTCCTCTGAGCCTTTCAGCAGCGTGACTGCCTTGAGTTTGAAACAGTGCTGCAATTTGTTGTCAGTATTACACACTTCTCTAATTTTCATACATGGAAAATAAGCACTTGGGGTCACCTCGCCTTGTTGACAAGGATTCAGGGAGTCAGTCTGAATCCCTCTGTGCATTTGGAGCCTTTCCAGAAGCTCAGCACGGTACCTGCGAAGCAATTTGTCTTTGCAAAAATATTTTGCCATTTAAAGCCACTAAGTGGCAGGGAAAAGCAACTCCAGAAAATATATGTTGTGCTTAGTGCTGGTTCATAGCTGTACATGCTGAGGGTTTTAAATGTAACGCAGTAACCCCTCCTACACAAACCAGTTTCTAGGCTGCTGCTAAGAGCACCCTTTCCACCCAGCAGAAACAGGAGAAATCAATGTACGTTAATCAAGGTATCAAATATAAGAGAGATCTATCAACAAATAGAAATAGAACCAGTCTGCCAGCGTGGTGCCAGGCATCTGGCCAAGACTTTGTGCAAATAAAGATACAGTAGGGTACAGTGAGGGCTCCCAGCACAGCCACAAGATGACAATCAACTGCAGTGTTCCAGCTCACTTGCACAAGTCTGTTGTGCCCATTGGACCCTACACCAGTGACCAACACTGAGCTCACACTGTAATTAAGATTATGACAGGGATTGCTCTGAAAGTCTGATTTCAGCTGCCTCAAAGGAACTGACATTCCTTGGGTAAAACTGGAGGCTTCAGCTGTTTAATTTCAGATGACATTCTTTTGCAATGTCACTGCTCATAGCACTGATCTCCAGCTGAGAGAAGGTCTCCATTAAGGGCACACGGAACTGAATACTTGCAGTGTCACAGCCTCACCCTTTATCCCCAGAGAAACAGTTTTCTCTTCAGAGGGAAAACATACTGGTTAGTTTTCCCGTGCTGAAATGCTGGCTTTGTGTTCCCAGCTAAAACATATGTGCACCTCTAGTGAAAAGCCATATCTGCAAAGAGACACCAGGTAACTGGCATCTATCGGCTACTGCAGATGCTCCCCACGGTCAGTAATGGGGCACCTCCATGGAAGGATTTGGGGTTCTGGAGCTGGAGAAGAGGGAACCTGGAAGAGGCTCCCCTGAGGCTGTTAGCACAGCTGGGAGACATAGCCCATCAGTCAGACAACCAGTAAGGCTGGATTTCCATTTTACCCCATAAAGGCAATTATGATACCCATGCACTGCACACATCCCTGCTTCAAAACGCACAGCATCCTCTTTTGGGAGAAACCCATGGTCGTAAGGGGTCCTTCTCCCACCTCAGCATACAGATGTGATTTCAGCCATCTTCACTCTGCTGGGTTGCCCTCTCCTTACTGCCAGGCCCAAAATTTTGAGGTTTTCTTAAAATCCTAACAGCTTTCAATTAATGGCAAATTTGGACTTTTTTCCAGATGCTGTTAAGGAAGAAACTGCCTTTTTCTTCCTCTTTTTCCCCTTATAAACTATTCTTAATTGGAGATGGGATGGGAGTTAGAATGATGCTAAACAACCAGTCAGGGAAGGCTGCAAAATGTATATATGGGGAAGGTTTTGACTGCTGGGGATCAGCCCAAAAGTTGGATCCTGGGAAAAACACGAATGCCTGAAGGTAGTTCAATGGGACACATCTGTTGCTGCTCCCAGCAACATTCAAGTGTCCTGTAAGGATGCTTCTCATGGGATTTTTTTTCCCATTTTCTGCAAACATCCTGACAAAATCCTACAGCTTAGCATCCCGAGCAGCTCCCACCACCTGCTCTTTCCAGCCTAGAGCCCTGGGTTTGTCCAGGCTCTCACAGATACTGTGCAGATGAGAGCAGGCTACAAGAGTCGCGGGGAGGAAGCACATGTCTTTCTGTATATCTGAATGAAAAATGCCCCGGATCCAGTTTCCTCCTCTTAAGATCGTACAAAACACATGTGCTGTTTTCTCCCGAGGAGCTGTAGGGAGCCACCTTAAGCCCTATGACAGATTTGACAACAGCTGCAACAAGATTAATGGTTTAACTACATTAGTATCCCTATTGGTACTAAGTGGTTTTTCATACATTTGCTCTTCCACAGAGGTACTACAGGATATTTACCCACAGGGAATGCTATACTTTAAACAATGAAAGGATGTGATTCTCTTCTCTCCTGTACCAAATTTTCACTCATTATTCCCAATGAATTTATTGAGAGTGCTCGTCATTTAAAGTAGTGCAAACAAAGCAAAAGGGAATTGAAACTCCAGATCTGAGGAGTAAGAATGCTAAACTTCTGAAATGGGGAGAGCATCCTCAAATTTCTTCTGCTCCAGAAACTTTCATTGGGTGAAAGCTGATGATCAAACAATATGAAACAAGCTGAGAAGTACAGATCTGATGTCAAGAGAAGCCACATAAAGTGAACTTGCATGGTTAAGAGAAAAGGAAGGAAAAGGAGATGGAGAGGTGGGGTTGTCAGTGTGAAACCTGCGTTTACCTTGAGCTCCAGTGACAATTAAAAATGGGGAATGGAGTCTGACTGTGGTGGGAGATGACTGGAAGCAAGCAGGATTCACCTTGGCCTTAGGAACAAGAAAATAACCAAAATTAAGTCAGTAATTAATCCACTAACTTCCTGCACAGTTCTGAAATGCAATTATAACCATTTCTTTTAGGATTATTATTATTTGTTTCATTGAATCTTTGATTAACAATTTCTCTAAGTGTAAGAAAGAAGCTCTGCTTGCAGAGCTATGTTGAAATAGCTCATATTTGGTCTGTCAGCCTTTGCCAGCTGAGTTAAACTGCAGAGATAGAGCTTTCCCTGATGCTGCTGTCACCTTTCTCCTTTGCAAGAATAATAATAGAGGGACTAAAACTTGTCAGAAGACCACTCATGGCAATAGCTGTATCAGCTGCCTATGTCTTCAAACCATCCCAAAGGTATTTAGCTCCCAATGGGGATTGATAATCCAGACTTTTTTTGGGCGGGAAAGGGAAAAGGGTGAGGGGAATCTTTCAGGAATTTGGCCACATCTGCTGCTCCAAATTTACTGCCTCACATCTGAAAAAGTCCATGTAAGGCAAAAGAGAGCCTTAACTAGAAACTATTCACCAGGCATATCTTAAAGTGCAGATACTTACGTAGACACAGTTATAACCACATCTTAATAGTCCAAAAGCAAAGTGATTTCAGCTTCTTCATTATCAGCTCCATGTCTAATATGATGAAAGTAAAGGAGTTTAGAAGCATGGAGGCTTTTGGCACTAAAGTCAAGAGTGTATGGAATTAGCAAGAGTGCTATGGAATTAGCTTCTGGTTACAACCCATTCTGGGGCAAATTCAGGTTTGTGCCCTGAAAAATGTTTTAAAACTAGCCAGAAAGAGTAAATTGGAATTTTAATAAAGGATTGCTGTAACTTAGAAATATATGAGTAGCTCTACTGACAATAATTCCTGATTTCTGAAACTATTGTTCATTAAAAATATGGAGAGGCTTCAAGTTCAAAGGTTAAGCTTAAATTGCCAGCAACATAGTGAGAATCTTTAAAGCCCAGGCTTGGAAGGTGAACTGGGGAAGTGGTGAGATGTTACTTAAACATGAAATGAAAGGCTTTGTGAAAATGTGGTTTGGGTTTAAAAAGCCAGACTTTTACAATGAGTGTACAGAGCCTTGTGCTGGAAAACAGAGGCCTCTGAATCTGCAAGTACCACTGCAGTGCAACAGAGGTTCACAGAACATGAGGAGTTAAATCTTCCTTTCCGCTGACAGGACTATTTTTTTCCTCCTGCTCTGAGAAATAACCTGGTTAAGACTCCTCGGAACAGCTGTTTTCTACCATCCTTGTCATCTGTTTTTCAAATTACCCAGATACTAAGTGATTATTTCTTATGATTTCAGCTTGAGAGCATCTGGAATTCTTGAAAGCTCCCATCACTTCAGGTTTCCCTTCCACCTCCTTTACATCCTGCCTTCCTCTCTTTGGTCTCAAAATTAATTTTCCCCTAACATGCTGGTGTTCTTGAACTTAGAGATCTGGCAGGTTCTCAGCTCATGGGGTATAGGCATGTATGCAGAGGAAAGGGTATTAATTATTCTTCGTTAATTCTGACTATTCGAAATCTTGTCTTTGTAGCAATAATTCCAAGGGAAAGGACTTCCTTGATTTGATCGTAAAATGGCTGCTGTTGTATGATAATTCCTCAGGTCTTTAGGGAACACAAACTATGTGACCAGCGCTCAGCCTTCTGCTGAAACGAGGAAATTGCTCTCCTTCCCATTCTATCCAGTAGATCTCGATCACAGTGGTCAAATCCATGACCTTGCTACCTAACTCAAAGTGTATTCCAAAGGTGACTCAGTGTCTAAGATGCAGACCATAGGCCTGCAGAGCTCAGTGGTGGAACATTGACCAATAAACATCTGACCTGAAAGTTAACATCAAACAGCAGGATGGGCAATGTGAGTGTGGCTGTGAAGGGCTTGAAGGAAAGAATGGCTGCATACATTAAAGAAATGAGACACAATGTCCTCATTCACAGCATGATGCACTCTACAGATCCGCGACAACATGGTACCTCGAGAGTTTAAATGAACCAAATGCATTTTGCTAGGTTTGTAACAAGATATTGCATATTCTGCCATTTGCCACCTGCTGCCCATGTTACTCAATGTGCATCCTAAATCAGGTATCCCTCACTATAATTGCACTTGGTCTCCCAGTCATCAAACACACCTCTTCTTCTCTTGAACTAACCTAAACTGATTCATCAGGGGTCAGCACTGCGTTCTCTGCAGCGCAGCAATAAGACAGGACTTGTGATTTCTCATTTGGTTTCCTTATACAGATTCCTCGATGAAATACACCAGGGACTCAAAATGAGTTTTATTTGTCTGCCTTCAGGTCATTTGTGGTGATTGCATACTCTTTGTAAAGGTTACAACTGTCAGCACCACGCAGCTTTGATGTAGCAGTATGCCGCTGCTAACTCACAGATGCTTGCAGTGTGTCCTGCTGTCACAACATCTCATCCTCACGATATCACCACAGTTTAGAGGGACATTATCTTGCAAGTCAGTCTTTTTCCCTATGAATAAACAGACATTGATTTTGTGGCCTGGTTCGATCTCTGCAACGTGAAGTAGAGTTGAGGGATGCATGATCCTCACCTGGGCAAGCCACACAGCAGCCTCAGTGTTGGGCCCTGTTCCACATGTGTGAGAGTGATGAGTTGATCTGCTGAGAAACTGGGTGCTTTTGAATCTACCTGTTTGAGCACAACTGAGAGAAATGTGAGTGATGTGCAGGGTCTGAGTGCTGAGTTATCTCGCTCACTCTGACACGAAAATCTTCATACTGTGGCCCATAAAGCTAACCCTGCTCAGAGCTGTCAGTGACAGATAATCCAGCAAAAAGCTATACTGATGCAGCTACACATCTTTTAGGGTCTGAGGTGGGATCTCTATGTGGCAGGTGTGTTGACTTGCTTGAAATTAGATTTAGCACCTGTAGCACATCATTGCAGACAGCCCTTAATGAAAAAGCCCTGGGTCAGCAGTCAGAGGATGATCTTTGACCTAAGACCACTATGGTCTACAGGCTCATAAACAACTAAAATGAAACCAGAGCAGTGTCCAGTAAGAATCACAGGCTGGAGAAGGACCTTTAGAAGCATTCATCTGTCTGATTGATCTGGATTTGGCTGTGCTGATCTTGGGAAATAAACTCAGGACTGAAGTTGTGCTACCTGACACCATTGCTGCTGAATTGGCACCACTGAGGTCATTGAATGATGGGTTGAATTTTTGTCCCACCTGGATTTTGAACACTCAGCAGCTTCCAGACACCAACACCCTTCCTCACAAGCACATCCATCATGACTGGCATTGATAGATTAGCCAAGGAGTGACTGGACATGAACTAATGAGCACCATTCAGCTAAGGCAGGCGCATACTAAAAGGATAGCATAATGGGAGCTTTCATTCCACAGGATGCATCTGCACTGGAGACCTTGTCCGGCCACAGCTTTGCAAACCCGCAAACCCCTCTAGTCTGTTCGGGATGCAGAACATTGTACAGATTCTGAAAGCCACTAAGTGAAGGTAATGTCCTTGCCCATGGAGCCAAACTAGCACGGCAGCCTCTGCGAAGGTGTCCAAACCCACCACACCTGCTGGGATAGGAACAGGGTATGCCACAAATGGTAGTAAAAATATCTGATGCTGTTGACACCAGGACCATGGCTGGGTGGAAGCTGTGATCCTCTTCTGAAAGACAGTTTAAGGTGAAGAGACAAGTGGATAGAGAAAATTCCCAGGATCACAGGGGAAAATGAAACTCACAGAACACCCAACAGCCTCTCAAGACTGAGAGCAGACCTGCAGCAGGTCCTTCCTATAGCCTAAGGCAGCCATTTCCCTGCAGCTATGTTTTATGATTGAGCTCCCAGTCAAAATTCTCAGTCTTGCTCCAGCCCTGCCTCACTCCTCCTTCTTTGTTCCATTTTCTTGTCCTCTCTTCTGGGTCTAAATTCAGGGATCAACAATCTCCACATGCTATGGTAGAAATGACCCTGTTGAAAAATGATCTAGGAATACCCAGAAACCTCAGAAGCTGAGAGTTTTATCTGTGAAAGGCAAAGGTTTTCCTTCTTCACAACATGCTCTCCAGAATATTTTACTTAACACCCTGGAGTCTGCAACAACTGTTTCTCATTTGTAGCATCATCTTTTCCATATGACACGTGTGACCAAAACCCTGATGTAAATACTGTGGCATTGCATATCTTTTTGAGTACACACTGTCACATTCTCTTTTGAAGATAACTGTCAGCATACTGAATGCAAAGAACAGCTGGAAGTAGGGGAGCAAGGAGGAGATCAGATGAAACTGAGTAAATACCATAGTGATGCTGTAGTGTGGGTGTTAGCTGAGAGATTCCTAGAAAACAGCATTAAACTAATGGCCCCTTGGCTTTAAAAATTATTTACTTGTTCTTCTAAACCCAAAGATCAATTGGCAGGAGTTACCAGCGGTGAATTAGGATATAGCCAACACAGATTTGATGGTTGTTTTTTGTCAGAAAGGTACATTTCTCACCCATCAAATATTTATTTAATTAATACCCAGCTTTAGGAATCCACCACAGGGTTTCTCTTGCCAGAGTTTCAGTCTGGGAGAGGCAGCTCCATAGAGAACATTGCAGCACAGATCTTCCTCAGAGCAACATCTGGCAACAGAATGGTAATTGATGTTGTATAAAAAAACTTCATCTGTACGCTATTTCCCACCCTCCTCAGGAGGGAACCTTTTAATTGGCTGATAATATCCCCCCTTTAGTCTGTCCTCTGAGAGGATTATATAAATCAGGCATCTAAAAGGACAAGGGATTCCCGGGAGAGAATCCATAAAGAACAGAGAGTTTATGCCACAGCCATCATACTGCCTCCCCCCAAGATACACAGAGGTCCAAATCCACATCTTGCATAGTCACAGAGTTCCTGTTGAACAAAAACTCCCACTAATGAATATTTGCTTCTCTCTCACCAGGAAAATCCCAGTGAGTGGCTCCATCCAATCCCC